GTCAGGTCGCTGCCGGTATCAGCGATGGCCATGATTTTGACCCGCGGGGTTCCGATGGAGATGGACATTAGGAACTCGCCGTCGTCGGGGATGATCCTGGAATGGATGCCGGTGATGGAGACGGCGGCAGCGCGGTTGAGGAGGGTGTCGGAGCGGGAGAAGGAGCGGCGGAAGGCGTTAGTGAGTCGGTCATAGTGGGAGAGAGATGGGTTATAGAGAGGGGAGAGAAAAGAATCGCGGTGGAAGAGAGAGGTGGTGAAGCCATGGCCGCCGCCGCCAACGCCCCCATGAGCGGTTGCTTGGGAGAAGGAAATGAGGAACAAACAGAAGAAAATTGAAATGGCAGCCATGGATTCCAGTGGGAAAGCTTTAGAGGGATGGGAGTTTATTGAGTGCCCAAATTTCTTATTTTATATATGATAATTTAGAGAGAGAATATAAATAAATATTATGATTTTTTGACAGAGGAGAGAGAGAATATGCATGAGATTATATGACGTGGATTTTCTTATATTTCCTTAAATTATAGAAAATGTCTCTTTTTCATGGTTCATAAATAATAATAATAATAATAATAATAATAATAATGGACTCAAATGACACAATTAAATGGCGTAGATTTTCTTGATTTTTTTTAATATATTTTTTAGGTAAATAATAATTATAATAATAAAGTCCGATGGACCATAAATTATGGAAGACATGTTTAATATTTAAGTATAATTAATTAAATTTTTCTAAGATAAAATATTTATTAATTCAATTTTTACTGTAAGTTTGTATTTAAAACAACTTCCTATTTGGATTTTTGTTTTAAAAAAATATTTTTTTTTTGAAGTTTTGTACATTAATTCATGAAATTCAAGTTATCATAATTTGTTATAAAAAACAGAAAGCGGTCGATATAGAATATGTTTCATAATTCAATAAATAAGGTATTTGAATTTTCGACCTCACACATTTTTTAAAAAATAATTCAATAGGTAAAATTCATACCTAGATAAGAGATAAAAGAGACAAGAATGAAGGCATTATTTTCCATGTTTGCATAACGAATTTATATGAAAAATTGCAATTTTTAATGCAAATCATAGGGTTGTTTTTCCCTTTTTGGATGGTTGAAATTTAAATTAATTGAGATTCTATACCTTTCTAATATATATATATATTTATTTATTTATTTATTATTTCTGTTATTCAGATAAATTTGAACTCAATTAATTAATCTTTTCAAAATATGCAAAAGATTGCTTCTTATAAATACGTCGTTTAATTCTTAACTGAATTAAGTCGGACATAATCCTCATTTTTTTCCTTGGAGTTGTCACACCGACAAGTTCACATGAGATTTTTTTTTTTTGTTCGAATTTCAACATTATTATAATATAAATTAAGGAGAATTTTTATAAATGAGTTGAGTTTCTAAATTTAACAAATTATTTGACGGTAAAATTACTTTGTAACTAATACGAAATAATTAAAAGTCAAAATCTTTGAAATATAAATGGTAAGTGAAAATTAAAGGTGACATGCATTACAGATAAGAAATTCAGAATATATATAGAAATATATTAAATTTATCAAAATAAAAAATTTAAAAAAAAAAAAAGAAAAGAAAAAAAGATGCTGATTCTCCACCGACTATGAAAAAAACTCATGATATAATTTTGTTTAAAAAAAATTAAATATAAATCTAGAGATAGAGACAATTAAATATGAAGCGTATCTGAGAGCTACAACATAGATGATTATTGATTATAAATCGTAAAATATTTTGATGTATGTAAGCTACTATTTTTCAGGTGATATTTGACTTTGTATGATTGACGGTGATAATGTCTTAGTGTTGATTTCCTGACTAAACGCATTGATATTTTATCTATTTTTTTTTATCAAAATCTATAAATTTTGAGACTTTGATATGTTTCATCATCATTGACATTCAAAATTTCGACTATCTATAGGTTAATAGAAAAAATATATATATCATCCAATAATAAACAACCGACTTCATTTAAAATTCATTAGAATTTGAAATCACTTAAAATCCTTCTTATAATATATATATATATATATATATATAATATGATGAATAACAATAATTTACATTGAACATCAAACATTGTTGTACATAGTAAAATACATGCACCGCCTAATGTCCATCAAGGCACTTGACAGCGAGAAGTGAGTATATAATTTCAAGGTGCTACTTTTCAACCGTCTGTATGAAGGGCAACGGATGATCCAAGAGAAAACCTTGTGGATTGGGCAAAGCCACAACTCGGTAGCTCTCACAAGTCATCGTGCATAATGTTAGATATGACCCACAATTGAAATATATATTAAAACAAATAGATTAAGAAGAAATAACAACTTCATGAAAGAAATCATTTGAATGAAAGACTTTAAACATTCAATTATCATAGTTGTTGTGAATAGAACCTACATGTGACAGTATTTACACGGAAAAAAGTACTAGCAAATTTTCTAAACTTTTTCGACAAGTTAGCTATGATTAACAATTTTTCTAAACTTAATCAAGTTAATAACTACCCACAATTATTCTAGATAATTTGCTAAGTCAAACTTATTAACTCACACTATACTTTAGTAGACAGTATCCGAGGAAAGGGACAAATCAAGCTTACTAATTCACACATAATCCCGCCTAAGCTTTGTGGGAAAAGGGGCAAAGTGAATGACCAGTCTTGGCCTCCAATGCAGAGCACCAGCTTGAATCCTAAAGACAGACCCAGAATGGCAGCCATTGTTAGTTCTGCCTCTGCCTCACCAAAAAAATGCCAGGGATGGGGACTCTGCTGACTGCTAAGGCCAAAATGGAGAACAGGGTGCGGAAGTCTTCCGCAATCTTCTCAGGCTACTGTGAGCCACAGATGATTTGTGTGTGCAACAATATGTAAATGAAGAGTTTCTCCCCTTTGATGGGATTGCCCTCATCTTTCTAAAGAGTCTAATAATAAATGTTAGAAGTTAAAACAAGACTCGGAATTGAACTCAAGAACAAACAGAACTATGAATGATGGATGAATCAGATCTACCAAAGCACAATTCCCAAGATTGTTTTGAAGAACAGAGTAGCAAAACATTCAGCTTATTAAAGCAACAACTTAGAGAGAAAAAATTTCAAGTTTCAAGGACAGATTACCAATAAGAATAATAAATACCTCTTTTCTTCAAGAAGAAGCCACAGCATGTGAACTGCATGGATCCGCATCAAATACTTGCAATACAAATTTCCCCAAAATCTGCCTCATTACAATGCAGCTTTGTCTCCTACCCTTCTGGGGTTGACTTCCTAAGCTTCTCTTCCATATCATACTCAAAAGTCTCTTCCATATCACACTCAAAAGTCTCTCGCTCCGTAAAAGCTCAAGTCCATTTTTAACTGGTATTATCTTCTTTAACGGTAGACTTAGACTTTTACAAATGGTATTAAAGCCAAACACCAAATGTTGAACCACCAATGAAGGTGAATTGTGAGACCTCACATTGGCTAACAAATATTGTCCCTTTAACAGCAGGCTTAGGCTATTACAAATGGTACTAAAGTCAGACACCAAAAGCTAAACCAAAAGGAGGGTGGATCGTGTGGATTGTGAGACTTCACATCAGCTAATAGATATTATCCTCTTTGACGATAGGCTTAGCTGTTACAAATGATATTAAAGCCAAACACCAAACGCTGGACGAGGAGGGTGGATTGTGAGACCTCACATCGATTAGAGTGGAGAACGAAACAATTGTTATAAAGATATGGAAATCTCTCCTAGACCTGTTTTAAAAACCAAAACCTCGAAGAGAAGTTCAAGAGAAAAAACCCAATGAAGACACTATCTACTAGCAGTAGGCTTGACCGATGCCGTTCAAGAAGTCCGAGAGAAAAAATTCAATGAAGACAATATCTGTTAGCAGTAGGCTTAAAGGGACGGTCACATTCTCGGTCATTTCTAACACCATTTGTTAATGAGGAGAGAGAGGCAGAGACGTATTGCGTTTCATGTGGTAGAGAGCAGCCTTGAACTGGAAGAAGCAAAAACGGTGGAAAATAGTCGACCTTTTTCAATGGGAAAGGCCGCGAGAAGCGCACTTTGAGACCAAAAAAAAAAAAAAAAAAAAAAAAAA